CAAGTCTCTCTTTATTTTGTTCTATTTGTTTTATTTATTTTGACTGCTATTTAGTGTGTGTTTTGTACCAACGAGTTTCAGTTGGTTTGGACATCTTTAGGCTTCTTATACTGCTATATCATAGTTTATCTCAAGAACGTTTCTTGATTTTTTTTTTCCTTTTTAATATCTTTTTAAAATTATACTTGGCTCATTTTTTCCATTGAAGAGTGAAGAGTTCCCTTCCCGTAATAAGTATTACAGCCACTTTGATCTTTTTCTTCCTTAATTTTTACTCTTTAATTCTTTTTTTCCATTGAAGAGTGAAGAGACCAGTGAAATGAATTACTCTTGACCAAAAGTATTTTAAGTACCCCAGCCACTTTGATCTTTTTCTTCCTTAATTTTTACTCTTTAAATTTATTCTTTTTTTTTTAAATATTTTGGGGGGCACTTGAGATTTCTAGAATCAGATTCAGTGTTCATAGAAAGTCAAAGAGTATGTTATGTTCCCTTTGACTTTAGTGAGTTTTGAAGTGTGATTCTCTTTTACATGCACCCCATATTTATTTCTCATGTCTAGTCAATCCTTCAGTGGTGATCTCTGAATAGGCACGAAAGTCTTTTATGCCTATTTTATAATTGCAGAATTCTCTTCTAGGGAGTAACTTTTTCAGTTTGTTGTTTGCTACATGTATGTGTCAAAATGAATTTAACTTTATTGTTTTCTCTTTATTTTAAATCATAACTTTTTAAAGAAAAATCAATGATTAACACACACATTTAAAGCTAAGTATATTTGGAATATGAGCCTGAACTGATGCTGAGATCGCTTGGTCTATCTAAGTAAAACTAATTCTGAGGAACTTACAGAAACTCATGCTGAAGTAAAAAGTACTTCTGCAACACTTAGCACTTTTGTAACTCTACCTACTTGTTTCAGTCTCTCATTATGGACTTAAAATTGTAACTTTAGGTTCCTATTTTTCTATCTGTGATCAGCTCAGTGTTATCTGTGAGTTTACAAATGTGTTATTTTACAATCTTTCTGAAGGACTTAATATAACTAAATATCTGCAAAACCAGGTATTCAAAACATCACATAATGCATTGAGTTAACTAAGGAGTTGGTCTTCTAACCTACTGATATTCATAAATTCATGTATTAGACAAACAAGAATTAAATGGGAAGCTCAGTGAATGCTAATTGGTACTTTCATGTATTTTGACACTATTTTTGACACTTTGTCAGAACTGAATTCATATGAATGAAAGTATGTCTCATTAAGTGACCCATTCTGAATATACCTTTTTTGAAACATTTTGTCAAATGCTTTACTAAAAAATAATTATGTTGTCATGCTAAAATAAACCCAAGAAATTGCAATGTATAGAATACCTACAGGAAAAATTCCAAGGGGAAATAACGAGAAAAACTTTTTTATTGCCTAAGGATCATATTTCAGTATCTCATTTATCTTAGTTACCAGTCATTACCCAGTTATTAAATGTGTGATGATGGATAAGCCTGCAATAAACTGAAACATCCTTTAAAGCAAATGAAGGATATTGCACTTTTTGTGAACTTTTCTGATTCTTTCCAGCTCTTCTCACTGACTAGCAGTATATGATCATTTGTGATTTTTTTTAAAGCAATGCAGTCTTTAACAATAGCATTTTAAACTTAGATAAACACTACGATAGTTCTGAGAAAACTATAAATAATGTCAGCTGTCTCTTTGGATTCTAGTATCCCTTTGTAGAATGTTTGTTTCCCCTCCTTAAAATCCCTCTCAACATGTCATTCGTGTTCTCCTGATGACCTTGCACACTATGATATTCAGACTGTTTCACTCTTGGCTTTAAGTACGGTAGCCTTTCTCTGACGTACACAGTAAAAGAAAATTTTGGCTTATATAGGTGCCAACAACAGTTATCATCATCACTAGCTGTCTCTGCTGAAAAAGTCGTAAGAGGTTACAGAGAGTGAAAGGATGAAAGAGGTGCACAGGATAATGGGGAGAAGACTGAAGTATTCAGAGTGAATTTAATGGCACAGCAGTGTCACCATTGTCCATGGTAGCATCATTAATAGCTGCAAAGAACCCCAACAGTTTAAATTAATCTTCAGGAATCACAATAAATGATACGAGCAAATGAAAGTTCAGTCATGTCTCAACAACTTTTAGTTTATAGCCTGTGTCACTAAATTCAGTTTCATAAACAGCAGATTAAGTTGGTGCTTAAGCTTTTATACCTTGTCTAGCCACTAATAGGAATGAAGCGTTCTCCTGCTTTTAACTGAGACTGAAAAGAATCTTTCCCTTTGAGAAATTAAAGAGCAAATAATGAACTAGCCACGATTCTAGGCTGTAAACCTTATTTTGTAAGAAGCATGAAGATCCCTTTTGAGGATCAACAGTAATGGGCCAAAACCTGTATTATTTAATTACTTTATTTTCAAAGCCATCAAAGTAAAAAATATTTCCCTGTAAATAAGGATTAAGCAAAGACCTGCAGTACTTGCTCTATGTGAGCATGTTTAAATGTATAATATTTCTTTATGAATAGGCTTTATAATTCCACAGTTTCAGTTGTTTCTAAACTTGTGTTATTGCTTACTCTTAGCAATAATTAAAAAGCAAAACTCAAATAAAATACTGAAAGGACCTTACTAGAAGGAAAAGAGTAACGGAAATCTAAAAATTAGAAATATATGACACTCAAACTTGCTACATTTTATGAAGTGATGGGAGGACAACTATAATATCTAAAATTGCTTTAATTTAATTTTCTAAAAAAGCTAACATTAGATGTAAATTTGACAAAGTACCTTTAAAGTAGTACTAAGTACTTTTAAAGGTAGCTATAGGTAGTGTTTTGAGCTTTAATTTATGATGAGACATTGCTCATAATAAAACAGAAAAAGTATATAACATGCTTTTACATATTCTACTGCATGCATTGTATTCAAGTGATGTTTGTCATTTCATTGTTAAAATATAAAAACTGTCAAATGGACAACCCTAGAATATAAGTCCCTTTATATCCTGAAAAGATATGGTGATAGAACCTCCTCTTCTAGAGGTCTTCAGTCCCATTTGCAATAGGTGATTCATCTCATCTGAATTTAGTCATCTAGAAGTTAAAGATCTAATCTACAGTTAGAGAAACTGGGAGAAAGCACTGCCTTTTCTTCTTTTTTTTTTTTCCCTTCTTTCCCAATATGGTGAAATTAAGATTAGATTATTACCAATTAGATTAAGTTGTTAAGATTAGATACTTCTGATGTCTAAATTTAGGTGGGATACTTTCCACACTAAGAAGAAAGAATTCAGGTAAATTCTGAAACTGCTTTGAAACACGTAGCTGTGAGGTCTGCTTATTAATAATGTTCATTAGTTTAAATTGGAATGGACATAAGAGCATATAAGATTAGAAAGAAACTAACACCAAGTTCACATTACTCCTCCAACAGCACTCTGAAATAACATTTAATAACCAGTAGAAGTCACATCAGTCTGCTCCTAAGTGTTGTAGTGGTTTGGATTTTCACCATTTTATTTTCATTTTGCTTAGTGGTTTAGAATTTATGAAGGCTTGGAAATTCAACTTAGAAATAAATTTTATAAAATCATGTTGATCTTCATGCAAAACATCAGGAACAAGATTGATTATTATAGGTGAACTATGTGCTATTGTGAATACAGAGAAAAAGAATCTGTTACTGAATTTCATAGTTTTTTCCTAGTTAAGTTACATCCACAGAAACCAGATGTTTTACAGCCAAATTTTTCTTTACCTAAATAATTTAATTTAATTTTTCTGCTTTCTTCCTTTTGGGAGGGGCACAGGAACAGGGCAAAGCTGCATCTGCCCTAGTATTTTAAAGTATCCAAGTTGCTATTAGAGTCACCAAAACACTTATTTCCATGTGCTAAAGCCTCAGAGTTACAATTTAGTCAAATTCTTCATATATCTATGCAGCCATTCCTGTGCATTCACCAAGAGCTAGGATTTTGCTGTGAAATACATAATCAAAATAATGTGTATTGCCCTTGTATTTTTCCTATGTATAGGTTCTTTTTTTTTTTCTTGAACTACATAGGCTAGGTACTGTTTTTAAAAGAAAACAGATTATCACATTATATCATGAACTAGAATTTAGGGAAAAACTTCAAATATCACTCTAACTGTCAAATTTTAACAGCCTGTCATGTCATCAGGATAAAGTAACAAAATCCAAAGAAAACAAAAAATATGTCTTTTCATATTCATTATTAACCACACAGCTGACATTCTTCTTAATTTCAAATATTACAGTCACATAGTCCTCTTCAGTTTTTAATATAAATATTAAGATATTGGTGCCCTAGTGTATGTAAACTCAAATCTGAATTTAGGAATGCATCTTGGTCTGTTGATTGTAAGATTTTTTTTAAATTAAGACACGAAGCTGAATGACTCTGGGTTTGAGACTCTGGGTTCCCTGTGTTAGCATGTTGGAGAATAAATAGGCTTATGTAACTCACCACAGAGATTACAAAGAGGTTTCCATCATACTGTAGTAATAATGGGGAAAAAATCAATGAAATAATTTAATACCTTTTAATTATAGTAAGACTCCTGTAGATGCTGTTTCTGTAAAAATTGAATGCTATTTGACAGTCTTTTCTAAATGCTGGATATTGCTGTTAGCATGTTGGAGAATAAATAGGCTTATGTAACTCACCACAGAGATTACAAAGAGGTTTCCATCATACTGTAGTAATAATGGGGAAAAAATCAATGAAATAATTTAATACCTTTTAATTATAGTAAGACTCCTGTAGATGCTGTTTCTGTAAAAATTGAATGCTATTTGACAGTCTTTTCTAAATGCTGGATATTGAATGTAGTAATGTGCCTATATTTAAAGCATTCAGTAGAATATTGATGGGTGAAATCTTTTTAATTTCTTTCATCTGTACATGATTTTAGAATAAAGAATGTGTTGTTAATATTTTCTTTTGATATTATAGGTAAGCACACTAGACTGGGTACGAGCTGAAAAAATCTATAACCTCTGTGAGGTTCTATTTAAAATTCATAAGGTAGGTTTCCTAATAATTACAATGATATTATTTAGTAAAGAAAGCTTGCTTTTTCCTCTTAATGATATGCACAAGTTAATCTTAACTAGCTGTAGCTAACATTCAAATAGTTTATCTGTTGTTAAAAAAAAACTATTTGTAATGGCTAGTGCATTAGCTATGCAAGTATAAGAGAATATAGTAAATGGATAAATCTCCAAGTGAGTAAGTTACTAAAACGCTTCCATGTTGAAGAAATTTTTCAGTATTGGAGCTGGTCATATGAAGTGCAGGTGAGACACACAGCTAAGCATAATGAAACTGGATATTGCTTTTTTCTTGGTGGCTCAGATTTTGAAGTGAATGTGATAAAGAATGCTTTTGCTGTAATTCTTGATTTATATAAAAATACTTTAATTTCAGTAATTAGAAGTATAAAATTATGTCCTTTTTAGATCATGTGTAATTTGCAAATATTATAGTAGGTTTTACCTTACAAAGGGCAACATGGTGCATTTGTGTACCATAGAACTCTTCATTTTTTTCCACGACCTAGACACAGTGTCATGTTTTCTGTTTAGCTTGTCCCAAGCAAGGATTTTGGGCAAAACCTTAGCAGTCTGTTTAAATAATTGACTTACAGAAGATATTTTCTAATAAGTTGCATTAGATAGATTAATTTACTTCTCTGCCAGCTAATCAAAAACTGCTTTGCAGGTGAGGTAAGGCTAGATGAGAGCCTACTGGACTAAGAGAGTGAAAACAAACATATTATCGGGGGAAAAAACAAAAAGATCAGTCTTTTCAGATAAAACGTTGTTTCACTGAAAAATCACAAATGAGCTTTAGTTCTCACCAACTGCTGTCCTCTCTGCTTTTCGTCCTTTGACCATGTACTAATGGTATGGAGAAGGAAGGTTGTTGCTCTGTTACCTGTACAGATCCTTGACTTAACATTGCACCAAAGGAGAACTGCTTAAGTTTTTTTTTTGTTGTTTTTTTTCTGATGCAACACAGTTATTCAGGACAATTTACAGAAGAAAGAGTGAAAAGAAGAGAACAAAAATTCATAGACCTGACAATAACACTCCATTCCCCTTTACTGTCCTGTTCAGCATAGAGGGAAGTTCTCCGCAGCACTAAATGACCAAATTCTTCAAAGAATTGGGATGGCAGGGAGTTTCCATGTCCTGACTGCTCAAACTGCTTGTCCCAAACAGACTTTCAACAACATAGGCATGTTTCCTACACCAATTTTGTTGACTGAGATTTAAAAAAAAAAAAAAGATAAATTGAAAACATTATGAAGTTACAACCAACAGAGCAAGGAGCACACAGAACTTGACAGAAATCGAGAAAAAACAGCTCTCAAACATGAGCTGACATCTACATTTTACAGAGGTGTCAGTTCCGTTAAGTGGCTGCTAAAAGAGCTTCTGCTGATGTCAGCTGTCAGTTTTGCAGCCCATCATTGCCTGTTTTTTCTGTGTTGTAAGCCTGCTGTCAGTGGGCAGGGGAGGAAGGTTCCCTTCCCTGGCAAAAGTGGGGAGAGGGTCTTGGGCAGTGTCATGCCAGGAAAATAGGAATCCTGGAGTTCGGGACTTGAGCTCAGCTCCACAGCGCAGGCTGCAGGAGCACAGCCATATTTTTGTGGGCATAGCATTATTTTAATGTGACCATGTCTCCAGCTGGGTACATGTGGGCAACTTCAGGTCCTGCCCATCATTGAGACAGCAGCAAAGAGCAGAGGCTCTGTCCCAGCTTATTTGTTCTGTCTCCTTAATCTTTTTTTAAATTTACTTTTTCCTTATAAATAAGTCAGGCAGCAATTAAATATATACTTAGTTTGCCTTTTGAAAAGATTTTGCTATGGTTTGGGTTTTGTTTTTTTCTCCTTGAAATGTTACTACTGATTTGAAACTCAGTCCTTCCTTGAATATTCTGGTAATTTCAAGGACAATCTATCCTTAAAGCAAAGTCTGTGATACTTTTTCATTAAGAAAAAGAAGTGTGACATAAACTACCCAAGATTCAACTCTTTAATGTTCTTGAAGTTTTAATAAATGAATGCTTAATCGCCAGTCTTCATGAATACATTCGCTAAAGTGCAAAAGCTCAAATTCAACACTTTAACCTCTTTTCTGTTGATTCTTTGGTATAAATGACAATAAGCCAAACTGAGCAAATCCAAAAAGATAGCAAAAGATCATAACAGATTAAGGTTTCTACATTGCAGACTGAAAGATGGAGTTTATGTTGTAAAAACTGCCATTTAGGGAGGGTGTTCTTAAGGATTTTCAGAAGCTGGTTAGAACTAGTGCAAAGCTGTGGTGGAGAGTGCTACTGTATCTTCTCACGAAAGATGGATTTTAAGGCGAGGTGCACTTGTTACCTAATTGTAAGCTTCTCATCTGTGTTTATTATGACACAAGAGTTAAACATGGAAAATAAGAATCCAATATGGAAATTGCATTTCAAAACAAAATGTTTGCTATATTTTAGATTTGTGTGTGTGTATACATACAAACATATAAATACACACTTGCATACACAAACATGCAAATACAACTATGTGAATTAAAATTCATCAATCTATCACATACTTGCATATTCATGGACATTTAGTGGTAACAACCAGATGATTGAAAATGTGATCTCTTTTATCTCATGTGTTTCTTCCTATACCTTGCCTCATACCTCATATTTACTGGAACTGTTACTGAAAACATGTATTTTTCAGGGGTGAGAATATTAGATGCATTTTTAAATGCCACCTGTCTTAAGAACATTTTATTTTCTTTTATTGCCTGGTATTTTCACACGTCGCATTTTCACATACAAAGTAAAAAATATTAATATAGTAGTCCATAAGCCAGGATGAGCAATACTGAGTCTTGAAGCAGATGTAGGTGTAATACCTGTTGCTCCATGGCTGCTGATCTGAACACCAGATGATCCACAGGTATTTTGTTCAGCTTCCTTTTCACCAGTCCAAAGGAGCATCATAAAATAACTTTGAACTTCCTCAAGACTGTTCTCACCTTGGGTAGCTGTGTACCCTGGTGGCATTATGTGCTGCTTCTGAGGTGCCCCACAAAACATCCGTAGCTTAGCAGACTAGACGAGTAAATTGCATAAGGTTACATTTGCCAGCTTTATGTTATTCATTAATTCACCAGCACAAGCAAAATTTTCAGTTCCCATCTGAGTATTTTCATCCTATTTGTGAATATGAGAGCAGTACACAGAGGAAGATGTGCTAGCAGAGCATTTGTTTCCTCTGCTTTTCATTACTATAAAGTGGATCTTCACTGCTGTCCTGGGAGGGCAGTTGTGTGTGCCTCTAGAACAGGAGGGATGCAAGGCCCTGAACATTTAAGCATTTATTTTACATGTATCGGAATATTTTACATTGCATTTGGATGCTCGAATTCCAGTTGTTTGTTTGTTTCCATGTGCATGGGGTTTCAACTATAGCCTCAATAGGCTATGATGAACTATTAAAGGTTCTGGAAAAATAAATTCTACATCTTTGTAAGGCTTCTCCTGACGACAAGATTCTGGGACATGGGTACCACTGCAAAGCTGCATTCTGGTCTTTTCAAAGCCACCTAAGTGCAGTCAAACATGACTGCTTTTACCTCAGAACTGCTTGATTAGAGTCAAGTCTCCTAAACCTAACCTGGAGTGCTAGAGAAAGAAAATTCTGTTTACAGGTGACTTTAGAAGATAAGAAATAACATTTTCTTTGCAAATTGCTTTTTTTGTTCTCTCACTCTTTTCTGCCCCATGCCATCATAGAGAAATAGAGATAGGAAAGGGCCCTACCTGATAAATAGAAATTTTTAAAAATGCGTAATTTGGAAATTCAGTCAGTGAAAGTACTCAGATGTATAAGCAGTAGCTTTTTTATTTATTTTTCTTTTTGTCTATATTTATGCTAATCAATGAAGTCTTGAAAGATTAGGGAAGTTTCTTGTAAGAATTTGTTTTCATTTACAAAACATTCTGTTACAGGGATATTTTTTATTATGAAAGACTAATGTGAAGTTTCTCTTCTTCGTCTTGAAGGTGATGGCAGGATCTCACTTCACTCCCCTTGTAGTTGCAGAGCAGCATTGGCAGCTATTAGGGGACATTTGAAAGCTCACGTCATTTCCAGAATTAGCCCTTGGGTGCTTGATAAATTACTGCATTCCTTGGTGTTTAGCACATTGGAACCCAATTAGAACAGAGTAGTTATATTCTCCTGTAAAGCTGGTACACAGCTCTTGAATTGTATTCAAACAATGCAGGGATTTCCTTCCTTTTCACTGTAAACAACATATTGCTACAAACTCCTTTTAAATTATGTATGTATTGCTTAGGTAACTTTGACAGTATTTTGGAACTGCAGAAGTAGCTCAGATTACAATGATACAGTGAAGCAAAGTGAGTAAGAAGCAAAGAGAGAAGTTGCCTTTGAAATTATTACTTAATTCTCATAACATTTCTTCAAGGTAATTATTAACATAATGACATAACATATCCAAGTACCTATCACTTACAGAAGACAATGTCGCGTTAACTGTTTGTTTTTGCTAGATGAAGAATCACATACTGAAACATGTCTTTCAGCTCTGGCTTGCTGATGATTGCTGGCTACAAGCAAACTTGTATTTAGGTATTCATCAGGACTTTGATCTTGAAGACCAGAGGCCATATTGTTTCAGTGTTATGGTTGGACATGGCAAGAGTCATTATTTCAATGTAGAGCTGGGCAGCGAGTTGGCGGTGTGGGAGAAATCATTTCAAAGAGCGATTTTCCTGGAAGTTCAAAGAACAGGGGTAAGTAATGAATAATTTAAATCCTGGAGCCATTTCATCAGTAAAATAAGTATAACAAATTTTTAGATAATTTGTATGTTTAATAATTGCATCAGATTGATGTGCTCCATGACTAAGGATCTGAGTACACTTTAATACACTGAAGGCTTCTGAAAGCTTCATCATCACATCAATATTTGTATAACAATGACTATATAATAACAGTCTGTGAGCGTGTTATGACAGTTTGAAAATTGGAAGTTGACCTTGATTATAACAAACTGGAAATGAATACATTTGACCACTGGAAAACAATTTCTGTAGAGATTCTTTAGTCCACCTTGAACATTTTCTTCCAGAAAGCTTATTTTCCACTCACGTAAGGTAAATTTGTTATGTTTTACATTATGGTTCTGATTTCAAAGAAGAAATATTTTGCTCTTACATTGTTAATTGTAAATTGGGATTGTCCTTGTTAACATTGGAAGAGTTTGAAGACTTAGCATAAAAGTGAGAGGAAAGTTTATGATAGTCTTAAATCCTCAAAATTAAACAGCAGATAATCACTTTCTACTGGGTCATAAAATTCTCTCAGGTCAATTATTTTCTCAGATCTGAGGGTGCACTTCCCATTAGGTGGTTTTAAATTTAAGATAAAGATTCCTGGTACAGTTGTCTAAATGTGGGTGTCTGTTAGCACTGTGGTCACTAAACTCCCATTAGAATCAGTGAGTGGAGTCCAAAGAATGATTGTGCTTATACGAAAGCAGATACTTTCTTCTAAAGGAGATATTTTATGGTAAGAAGACAGAGAAGATAAATTGATTTTGATTTAAGTTGCCACTTAAAGAACCTCTATACTGTTACATAAACAAGTTATTTGCTGAATATCTAGATCCATGCTCCTAAGTGAACTGGACCAGTGGTACGGGAATGTATGGATTAAAAGTATAGGCCTTCTCCAATTAAAAACATATTTACACGGTTACACAAATGCAAGCTTGGTCTGGTATGTTCGGGTTTGCAGGGACCTCCTAAAGATGTTTACAATAGCAAGAGCACTGCATCACAGCATTGCATTAGCACAGCTTGCAAGGAGCAGGAGTCCTTGCATCAGCTCCCCTAAATTTCCAGATCTCTGGGATTCTAACGAGGTTGCAGGTGCTTGCTGAGAACCGTTCCAATTGTCTCTTCAGACTGATGAGGTAACAAAAAAGACTTTGTAATGGTGATGCTGTTGCTCCTGCACTTCTGAGAAGGAATGCAGTTCTTCAGAAAAAAGTTAATTCTTCCTGAAAAATTGCTGGGCATCAAGCAGGGATTAATAATTCATACTGAGTGTGCATAAAATATTTTCTCACATGAACTGTTCAAGAAATTGTGATACAACTGTTTGACAAACCATTCAATGATCCTATTTATTATCCATATAAAAAGCAGATAATATATAGTTAAAATTAAGTATAACAAGGGTGGAGATTAGCTCGTTCTGTAGCTGATTCGATTTCTGAAGTATTTATTGTTAAATCTCAAAACTTGTTCTTTTACAACCTATCAATCTTGAAATTAAGGGATAATTCTTTGCTTGTGCAATGATTTTTTGTCATTTGAATCCAACAATCTTCTAGATTGATATCACACAAAAGACATTAATATTTCTTCCAACTGTGGTTTAACCTATCTGAAACCTCCAGGAGAGGCATTTAATTAAAATCCTGATTGCAGTGCTTAAGTCTTCATATGTGTGTTCCCATATCTTAATTTTCTCTCACTCAGTTGCATACATTCAGGTTTGTTGTAAACCACTATATAAGTAGGATGCAAAGCACTGCGGTCACTCTCCAGCAGTGAAAAATCTTTTGACTCCACTATTTTCTTTCTTCCTTCAAAACATAAATGCTGCTTCGAATGTCCTCCTTTTCAGAGGGGTATCAAGAGCAGCATGAATGAGGTGCAACTTAACATTATATAGACTATTTCAAGCCATAGAAAAAGAATTGGCATTTCAGTATCCAGAAAATTGAAGGTTGTCACCGGTAGGTTAGATTGTCCATAAAAATTCTTTCTTTTGGAGAAGGACCATAATTGCAGATGGAAATTCATTTTTATTCATAAATGATTGGGCACAATTCATGGCAGGTGTTGGATTGCACTGTGTCATTTCAGCCATTCTTATTTAAATGTGGCTTGGTTCTGTTTACTGTTGAGGGTCATTAGGATCTTGTCTTTGACAGAGTTGTTGTTAACCTTATCCTCTACATGTTCTTTATGTTTGGTGTTTCTATAAGAAGAGTTGTATTTCTGAGAAGATTCTGTCCTTACACAGTTTATGAAAAGAAATATTGAGGTGCAATGGTACGTTCAAAGGTGCTTTTGAATTTTGTACTGTCCATGTTGTGTGATTTTTTTATACATTTCTTCTGAAAATGGCAGCTGTGTTAAATGACAGAAACAATGCAATAAAGCAGGAAGAAATCCCTCTCACAATATCGTTCCCCTATAGCTTTAAGCTATCTTAAAGCCATATTTCAAGCTGCTAATGCTTACAAAAAGGAGTCTACCAAGAAACTGTGAAATTCAGTGATCCTGATATAATGAATATATTTACAAACAATTATAGCAAGCAAACTTATGTTAAATCCATGTGCTAGAAACATCTATGTTTTCTTCTTGTAAAAATATTGTAGTCGCTGATGGCATAATTTGGACAGATGGGGGCAGTAAAAATGCAATAGAAGTAGGGCAGGAAGGCAGCTGAAAGGCAGAAAAAGTGCTGCTAAAAAGTATTTCCATGAGGTTGGTAATAAAAGTTAGCATTGCAATGGAGGAAGATAGGCAGTGAAGTCCTCTCAATCATAACTAGAAGTTCATTCATCTCCTACAAATCTCAGCAAGCCTCTCTGTCTCACCTGGAACATCCTAAACAGTGCAAGACCAATTAATGATGCTCAGATGAAGTAATTTTTCTTTTTTTTTTTTTTTTAAGTTTTTTACAGTGTGGACAGTCTTCAAAAACAAAAGGCTAGCACTTTTTCCAGATCTCTTACTAATTCTTTGACCCTTCAGGGTAGTCTTGTCAGTACTGCGGGATTTTCCAATGTTGTCTTTTATAAGTTACTTTCTCAGTATTCTTCCCTCTCCTCAAACTGTTCTCTCCAAAGGAAATTATCTTGACTCATCTGAGTCTTGGTTTGATTGTTAAAATAATGCAGAAACATCTTGATGGGATGATTTGGATCTTTGGGGTCTTCAGTCTTCTTCCACAGAAGGGCAGAGAAGGATATTGCAGTAGTATTTGGTAGTGGACAGAGGAAAGAGTGACAGTAACACATTTTATGGTCAGCTGTTGAAAAGTTGGGTTAACTGTTTTGGCATCTTAAAACTTTGTACTTATTACATGGATGGCAGAAGACAGAGAAGAGGAATCTGCTTCATGAGATGGAAGAGGTCTCAGAAGACTGAAAAAAACATGCAGGGGGAAAATCGTCTGCTGCAGTGTCGCTGAAATACCTGCAGTTGGTGTATATAGTGAGGAGACATGGTTACATACTCTCCTCATTTATCTAGCAACTTTTAAACATGAAAGAAAGTTTTCCCTTCATGCTTCCAGCTGTGATACAGATGCGGCAAGCTCTTTTGAATCCTCACGCAGCTGAATGACCTAGTTTCATTAAACCATTTACTTTGGTTGGACAAAAAAAGTTGTTTAATATGAGTTACTGCAAAAATTAAAATAGGTCAGAAGTTGGACTCCACTCAATCATAACAGAATAATCAAGAAGTTTTGCTGCATGGTTATTTTTTGTGCTTAAAGGTAAGTACTTCTAGCAAACTTCTTTCCGTTTTGTTCTGTAACTCAATGACTGATCTTGACAGACAAATAAACCCTGGAAATAAAAATATAATATATATTTGTTGAGGACAAGGATATGAATGTATTGTGCTAAGAGAAATGTTAGCAGTAAAATTCATGTTCCTGGAATGATACAAATTCCTCCTGTGAGGAATATACATTAAAAATAATAATAATAATAATAAAAAAATTCATGAATGTTGTAATAATATTTCACTTAAATCAATGTCATGTGAACATTATTGGAGATCCAAAAACATTTTGTAAAGAACATAAATATATGATGCAATTATCCCGTGTTTTCCTTCTTTATATTTCAGTTAATGTATATCTGCTTCTGTGGATGTTTTATCTTTTTGTATGTGTTTTTGACATTTACTTATTTTCCTAAGAGTTAACAACAAACCATTCTCTATAGTGAGATTCTTGATGCTGAACATGTAAGCCAGACTAGCTCATTGTGGCTCAGAATTGCTTGCTGATTATGCCTGTTCCTGGATAAATGCAAAAATAATTATTGGGAATAATTGTGCATGCAAACCTGCAGCTTTGTTTCTATAGGATTCCCATTTCAGTTTTGTTTCCACAAATATTGTGCTGCTAAAACACCATGATTAAAATTCCTTAAAAAAGAAACAATGGTTAAAACAAATGCAATTAATCAATTCCTTTTCTGTTTTGTAAGCAACAATGAATTCATTACAGAGGAAAGGAAACAGAGAAACAATCTCTGTTTTCATCTGTGAGTATGAGCAGTGTTCCACATTTATGAAAGATGACAGACATGAGAGTAACACATCTTACAGTATCCTTAGTTCACCATCTTCCTGTTCCAGACTTTTAACATTTCCCTCTATACACTGTATGTTCTTTGGGATGATCTATATGAAATGTCTGAGGAGTCTACAACCACATTACTGATGATTAAAACAAAACAAAAAATTGACGTAATTATTTTGAAGAAGTGGTTTACACAATATCCTTTCCTCAGCTTTGTATCTCTTTGCCTTTTTGCTTGATGGACTATCTCTGATTAAGTGTCTGGTCCTGGTTACTTTTTGATATCCTCTCTTCTATTCATCTTTTTTTATTTCCTTGTAATATCTTGTCATAGATTTTACCAGTTCATCAGTTTTAATTAATTTCTAACCCATTCATAATATTCTCG